ACCATTTGCATGTGTACGGGCCTTGCTTTGTCTTGGGTAGGGGTATAAATCGTGATACTCAATTGAAAGCATTGCCACATCTGTGTTGACATGCTCAACTTGCAGACACATAAGACCCTCTTTCCAGGTTCAAGGAATCTTCTAGTTTGTGAGAGAAAGAATCAATCATCAATTTCTAGAACATGTGGGTTCTGATATCTGATCTGTCACAGCGCAGTGTGCTCTAGGAAAAATAATGGCAGCATGCTGTGGGGACAGGAAGGAGACCCATCAAAACCAGCTGGGGAGTCAGGATGGGCCTCGCCGTATGGCAGTGCACACAAAGTGCCTCTTTGATTCTCTAAAGAAATATGCTCCCCAAATTTGAGTTATTATGATTATTAATATTATTAATAAACTAGCTTAGGCTAGATTAATATCCAGGAGCTGCAATCTGGAGAAGGTCTGGAGGAAGCCCCAAGGGTCTGCCTTTAAGATTTGCATAGTAGCTTTATTTTAATTAGTTTACCTTCATCCTGAGCGCTCTGGAAACCCTCCTGGGCAGCTTTGGGGTTCTTTTAGCTGTCAGAATAGATACATCTCCTGCCAACAATAAATCGAACACTGCAGCTGTCTTCTGAGTGGACTTGAATTGGCTGTTCTACGTCCCTTTACTGCAAAAACTAAGTTACTGACTTAGTTGGGAAGGAATCTTTACCCAGATTTTACTAGGAAAGAAGAGTTTCAGAACTAGTCCACTCCTGTCAGAAATCCCTCGCAGGCTTACTAGAGGTTCCTGAAGATTCCTTAGACCATGAGCAAATTCATGAATATTAAGAAGAATATACCCTTAACTTTGTATTGATTTTTTTAAAAAGTGTCTATATTTAAATTTCAATGCACTCGAATATGAATATAAAAGATTGTTAGCCTTATAAGCTGTATTATTGACACCTGAAGACAGCTTTTCTATTGAGGACTCCACTTCTTGTTTCACTTGAAACATATTTTCCTCTTCATTCCAGATGGGCAGTGATGACAGCAAATCTCAGCACTCAAACATGTTTGAAAAACACAGATCCTAAAAGCCAGGCACCTGCAGCCCCCACTGCCGTAACAGGTAGGTGTATGTGTGAGTCAGCTTTCCACTGCCATAGCAAGCACCTGAGATGACTGACTCAAGAAGAAAAAAGTCTGTCTGGGCTCGTTCAAAAGTTGGTTCCATGGGTTTAGGACTGTAGAGGAGTAGATCACGGAGAAGTAGGTGGAGGAGGTAGAGGCTCACGTTACCACAGCTTGTAAGCAGTGTGAGGTGGGCCAGCCTCTCAGCCTACTGGCTTCCCACTAGACCCTACCTCCTCGGTTCTTAACATCTCCCAGTACTTCCAAACTGGAAAATATATCTTAACCATGAGGAGTCAGTGGAGTATTCCAGGTCCAAATCAAAGCCCAGGGGGACCAACCCAAAAGTCAGCATCAGGAAATACCTTCTGTAGTTTACAAATCAGCCAAAGATACTGCTGGGGAGAGCAGGAATGCAGCCAGCACTGTGACTATTCTGTTTGACTCCAGGGATCATACAGAATTGAAGACATTGTCTGAATGAAGCTGGTGGACAGAAGTCATGTGGTTATTTTCTGAGCATCAGTGAGCATCTTCCCTGTCTGTGTGGAACCACACTGAACCCAAGATCAGGTAAGGTCATGTGCAAGCAACAGAAACAGAACCTAAACATACACATGAAAATGGTTCAGTGTAAGAAGGAGACTCATGCCATCTGTGGTAGTACATGCCTGTGATCCCAGCACTTGGTGGGTAGAGACAGGAGATTCAAGATCATTCTGGGCTATATGAGAACTTGTCTCAAAAAACCAGAATGCGGTGCTCAGAGTAAAGGCTGAAGTTCATGGAGAGCACCTTGAGTGTTTGCCTGCTGAGAACATATGTCAGCATTCCAGCATTCCATGTGAGCATATGTCAGCACCTGAGCATCGACAGGACAAACTACAATGGATGCTTGTCCCTAGTCACACACAGTCTGAGGAGCTCAGCAGTCACCTTGACTATAACATAAACCTCAAGGACATTACGATAAATGAGGTAATCTAGAAACAAAAGGACAAAATACTGTAAGATTACAAAGTAGAACTGAGGGCTGGGAGACTAAATAGGTGGCAGAGCACTTGCCTGGAAGCATTAAAGCCCCTGGCTTTGAACTCCCAGCACCATAAAAATACGAAGCAATCCCAGAACTGGGCAGCAATGGCAGGAGGATCACCGGTCATAAGCTTACACAGCCCTCTCATCTCAAAGAAATAAATCAGAAAAAAAAAAACAAGCAAAATAGAGAATGTGGGAAATAGGAGAGAGATGACCACAGATATGGTGTTTAATAGACAGAGTGTCACTTTTATAAGCTTGAACCATGCTGGTCATAGGATTGTACCACAAGTGTGTGCTCAATGTAGTTTAAACTTTATGTTGTGTATATTTCACAGCAGCTTTTAAAGACGAGAACGTGAAGAGTGGTATAGTTGAGGAACAGGCAAAATGAGGGAGGGCCGGGGAATGTGGAATCACTCAGAAAGAATGGAAGGCAGTCTCCTGACAGACAGCAGTGGGCAGCGATGCTTCTGTTGCCCAGGGAGGAGTCACAGTTGCAGGGATGAGGCAGGAGGGAGGAACATCTTCTGGGCAGGGTTCTGAGATGAGTGGCCACCTGTGAACAGACTGCCCTGTGGTCCTAAGCTCCAAGTGCACACCGTATGAGATGTGCACAAGGAACTAGGAAGTAACAAGACTAAGAAGGCACAGCCCAACGGAAGGTCAGAGAAGGGCTCTGCAAACATAATTCACCTGAACATTAGGCTCTGCAGAACAAAAGCAAGAAGATTTCAAATGATAGAAATACAACCGAGGAACTAGCTAGCCCCAGCACATTTCTAAATTCAGCATTGTTAACTACTGGCGTCATGCTCTACAGGACAGCTCTGGGCCTTATTCTCATGAAAAAAATCAAAACTTGGAGGGCTGACAAGATGGCTCAGTAGGTAAAGGTGCTTGCCACAAAACCTGACTGACAGCCTGAGTTTGAGGCCCTGCACTCATGTGATTGAAGGAGAGAACAGACTCCTGAAACCTCATCTTCTAGACTCCTTCACGAATACATGGTGGCACCTACATGCTTACATACAAAGAGTTTTTAAAATGAAGAAATAAATAATTAAAACTTCGCTTTCCATTCTTTCTTGCTTCTAGGAGTTTGATTTTTAGATTCCTCACTCAAACGGTATTATATCCCACTTATTCATTTTTCTGTGCCTGGTTTTTAAGTCTTCTAACTTCAGCCACGTGGTGGCTAACATCAGACCTTCCTTTGTTTTTAAGCATGAACGGTATGCTAATGTATGTGTGTGCCATGTTTCCCTATTCATTCATGCATCCATGAACATTTAGGCTGTTTCCATGTTTGCTCTGTTGATACTTGTGCGGCCCCAAGGGAGCAGGGCCTCTGTAGGCCCTGGCTGTATCACACTGGCTATACTCACTTGACTGTGTTGAGGAACTCTTATAACAGTGATTGTAATGGTTATAGTGCTTGTAAAGACTACTTCACATCTTAATGTACTATCTTATTTTATGCGTATGAAGTGTTTTGCCTGTATGTGCATCATGTATATGCCCGGTGCCTGAAGAAGTCAGAAATGGGCATCAGATCCTTGGAACAGGAGTTACAGATAGTTGTGAGCTGCCCTGTGGGAACTGGAAACCCAGGCTCTGTTCTCCTGGTAGAACAACCTATACTCCTAACCACTGAGCCATCGCTGAAGCTCCTAATGTACACTGTTAACAGCAGTGGGAAGTGGCTTTCTTTCCCTTCAAAGCTCTATTTTTTCATTTTATTTATTTTATGTACTGTGTGTACAGGTATGCACATGCCATGGCTTGAGTATGGAGGTCAGAGGTTAACTAGAGAGAGTTGGTTCTCTTCTTTCACCTTGTACAACCTGGGGACCAAGCTTAGGGTGTCACCCTTGCCAGCGTGTACTTTACCTGCTGAGCCTTCTTCCCACATGCCCTTACTGTTCATTGTTGGTTGGATTTTCACTAGCTAACCTAACCAGCATCGATTCTCACGATGATTTTAACTTGTTCTTCCCAGACAATTAGTGCTGTTTAGCATGTGTTGCTATGCCTGTTCGCCATTGAATTATCTTCTCCAGAAAAATACCTAAATATCTATGTAATTAACTTTTGGAGGCATAGTCTCTCTACATAGCCCTGGCTATCCTGGAGATTAAAAGCATGCACCGCCATGCTCAGCTTCCTTACCCAAAATTTTTAATTTAGTTCTTTGGTTTGGTTTTTAGGGTTTTGTTGGTTTTGTTGTTTTGAGGTTTGGGGTTTTTTGATATCTAGTTATAGGCATTCCTTACATGCATTAGACGCTAATTCTTTACGAGATACAATGTTGCCTTTGTATTCCGTTAACAGTTTCTTTTGCCACACAGAAGTGTTTTTAGTTTAATGTAGTCACACTCAGCCATTTTGGCATTGGTTGCTTGTCACCTCAATCATCTTTCCTCTCACGGCCTTGAACTGATTACATGGTGTTCACTGCAGGACACAAGATAACCCGCTTTACCTAAAGTCTACTTATTTTAATGCTAATCGCATCCAAGAAATATGGTCATGACAATGGACTAGTGACCAGAAATAGTGCACTTGGTTAGCCAAGTTGACACATGAAGTTCACTACACATAGACATGTTTATCTATTTAAGACTGACAGTTGTATAGGTTAATTAAGCTGGGTGTCCTATTCACACCACGTACTTCTTCCATTTACAGAGAGAAAAAAATCCAGTTGCTATTATAACTAACTGGTCATCTCAAAGCTCCACCTTGTGACAGGTGGTTTCTCTTAACTCTCACCTGAATCTCACCAAACGGCATCTAACAGCTGACAGACACGTCCAAACGGAAGCTGACAGAGACTGTCCTCCGGGAGCTGACAGACTATGCAGGGAAACAAAAAATGCACAGACGGGTTCAGTGATACCTCCAGCATTGGCAGCGTGCTGGATGAAGCAGACAGGGAGGTGAGCAACCTCACAGACCGGGCCTTCCGAAGTTTGTGCATCTCGGAAGACGCATCCTTCCATGACTCTGACCTGGCTCTGTCCCCAGATATCACTGGCCAGGTGTCAGGGACTTTTCACCAGGAAACAGTGAGCCATGCCAACAGGAAAAGTGGGATTTGGAGCCAGCTTCCATCTCAAGGCACAGAGCATTCTGGCTGGGCAGCTACCTTACAACAGCAACCCAAGTACGTTCAGGGGGAGGAAAAGTACCCCAAAAACAGTCCTCTGCCAATACCAGTCCAGAGGAGACTGGAGGTGCCCATTTCTGGCCTGAGGAGCAACAGCAAGCCCATCTCCAAAGTCTCATCACTGATCAGATCTTTTGACAGGACAGAGATTCAACCTTGTGACAGCCGACCTCCTCCGACCAAACCCCCAGCTCTCAAAAATCCCCCCAAGTTTGCACATCCCCCAGAAAGTGGTGTCAACTTCTGCTTTGATTCGGCCTTTCTGACTGTCAGGAGGGTGCCTGCTGAAGTCTCCAACACCCATCAGGGCAGCCACCAGCCTGGCCAAGCTCCTGGAGAACAAGAGTCTCCCAAGAACCCAGAAATAGCCTCTCACAGCTCAGACAGCCTCCTCCAAACACCTGACCATGTGGCTGGCTCATTTGAGCCAAGGTTTCCCTCTCCATCTCTCAAGCCACCCAAAGCTGAGCCAGGAAGAGGGAAGGAGTGGATTCCCAGGAGGACTTTTCTGCACAGTGAAAACAGTGCCTTTGAGTCGTGGGACACCCACCAACCAAAGCTCCGGGAGAGAAAGGACATTACTGAAACCACCCCAGAAAGCAAAGTCCCTAAACATTATGAGGACATGACTTTGCTAAAGGAGCCCTACCCTGCAGAGTCCAAAGTCTCCCCCTGCCAGGGCAGAGCTAACTGTGCCCAGGAAGAGAACAGGTCACCATCAGGAATCCAGTCCACATCTGGAGCCAGGGGTGCCAGGGATCCAGGATTCCTATTCCCTGTAGAGGGCAATGCTTCACAGATTGACTCTCAAGTGAAGCGGAGTCAGGCCCCGTGGAGGAAGCCAAAGACTAGCAAAGGAGGGACAGATGGTCCACATGATGCTCTGGAAGACAAGAAACAGCCCAATAGGAGAGTTCTGCCTCTATATTCAAAGCTCAACCCTCAGGGTCAACTTCCAGAAAATGGTGTTCCAGACATGCCAGAGGAATCCAATGACCATTACAGTCCCCCTTTTAACATCAGTAAACTCCTCACCCCAATTATATCTACAAAGCATGTCTTGGAAACTTCAGACACCCAACCAGTGGAAATAAGCCCATCCCCTCCAGGACAGCTAAATGGATACCAGGAGAAGGAGTCCAATGAGGCTCAGTCTCGAGATAGCTATAAATCCAAAGCGCCCAGTCTGCTGTTCAACCTCAAGGATGTTCGGAAACGAGTCAAGAGTACATATAGTCCCCTGCCTCTCTTAAAAGGCTTTGATGAGAAAACCAGAGGTAAGCTGGATAGCAAGCAAGAACCTCTGAGCAATGGAGTCACCCTTCCCAATGGGCTTGAAGAAAATCCTCCCACTGAGCTCTTGAAGGAGATGACAGATGATGCCCCTAGCGTTTTGCACAGCAGTACCCAGAAGGATCCTGCTATCAACTCTAGAGAATCATTTGTAGACAGCCATCCGACCCTCAGTTCACCTTCAGCTAGTTCCAAAACCCACTTCTCCATCAATGGGGAAGCTGTAGAAAGGAACAGTAATGAGAAGGAAGAAGCCAATGGAGAGTCAGAGCAGGGTCCCTCTGAGGATGGCTGGCATCCAGACTCCAGGGAAAGCCTTCCCCAGAAACATCTCTCCCTTAAACTCTTCACCAGGGAGTCTGAAACAGGACAGGCTATGGAGAAAACGAAGCCCCACCTGCTGGAGAATGGCCTCTTGAGATCTATCTCCCAAGAGACAGAGCCTGAGCGAGAAGCGGGGTTCCAGAATCTACCCTTGAACCAGAAGTTCTCCCCAGGACCCCTTTCCCCTGAGGAGGAGGATGTGTTTTACAGTGACAGCCAGTCTGATTTTACTCCATGCCTCCAAACAAAGGCTAAATTCAGCACCAGCTCTTCAGACCAATCCTTTGCTTCTTTTGAAGATCAGCAGAAGATGTGGTTTACAGAAGGCCCCCGGGAAGACAGGAAAGGTCATGTGAGTGCAGGTGCTAATCAGAAGGAAGAGAAGGAGACCGTGGTGGAGAAAGAAGAGGCACAGCAATGTACCTTACGTAATGAACATAGAGATGTGGATGAGCAGAGACAGGAGGAAATACAAAGAAAAGCACAAAGTGTTTCGAGAGGAAGACCCAGGAAAGCATCAGTGGAGGAAGTCAGTGCCAGAGGCTCTTGGATGGGGGCGGATAAGGATACAGCTCTTTCACATGCCAAGGACTCAACCCCGTTGCCAGCTTCTACCAACAAGCACAGACTGTTCCCAATTAAAGATAACACACTCAGGGCCACCCCAGTGATAAAGCCTATTATTCTGCCTCTCCTGAGGACAGTCTCCTCAGAGGACTCACTTAGTGGTGGACACAAAGAGAATGAATTGCCAAGACAACCATGGGGCGAAGATGCTGGTGGCCTTTGTGACTCAGGAAGCCAGGAAATGTCTAACACTCCACTATCCAATAACGTGCCAGGCATGCAGCAGAAATGTGTGGTGTGTGAGGGAGTGGAGGAGGACCCGGTACACACTGCAGCCCAGGATGAGACTTCTCAGCAAACCTGGAAGGGGAGTTTCTCTTTTCTACCACTGGTGGAAGAGGGGGGTAGGATGAAACCACCCCCAGATACAGCCAGCGAAGCGCTAGCACAGGGAAAAAGCAGATCTGCAGACTCAGGGAAACTGGGGGCCCCACAGCATATCCCCACCATCGCTTTACCCCCAGATGATTTAGAAGACTCTCTCCCCTCCCTGCCACAACATGCCTGTTGGGAAGAACAAGGTTTCAAAAGCCATTTTTTGTCTGCACCCAGAGCAGGAACTTCAGGAAGAAGGCTGGTTCCCAGTGAGGCAGCGACTTCCCCCAACCCCAGCTCTCTAGGAGAGAGCAGCACATGCTCCCCTGCAGCCAGCAGTGTTTGGGAAGAAGCTTCCCAGGCAGCTGGGGAACACTGGCAGCGCCAAGAGCCTCCTGGCCCCCGTCTCTGGGCCAGCCCGGGTCCTACAGGGCTCACTAGGAGGGAGGACACGACACATGGCCTCACGTGGGAAGCTGAAGGTTCAGATCCTCAACTGGAGAGGTTGGCAGATTTCAGGACCCTCTCTCCGAGAGGCATTTTGCTAGCTGAAGCTGCTGAGAAACCTGAGCCCCCTTCTCTGCTAGAGAGGACCGCAGGCAAGCCCCCTGCAGTCCCACCCAAGACCGAGAAGGCCCTGCGCAGGGCAAAGAAGCTGGCAAGCAAGAGGAGAAAGAGTGATCAGATACTGGAGAAGCATACCGAGGCTTGGGAGGGCAAGTCCTTCACAGAGGACACTCAGGGGACAGAGCAAAGGCCCTTATCTCCTGGAAAGGGGCCTAGGCCCAGGTTCCCAGCCATCCGCTCCCTGCCCCCGCCCACGCACCGCCATTCAGTGTCCTGTGGCTGGGAGCCCGCAGGGAGGCGGCCTTGGGGACCCCAATCCCTCACGCCTCTTCCCCCTTACCCCGCCACCCAGAAGGTGCTCCAGGATCCCCAGTCAGGACAATACTTTGTCTTTGATGTGCCTCTCCAAGTGAAAATCAAGACTTTCTATGACCCCGAGACTGGCAAGTATGTCAAGGTCTCTGTCCCTTCCTCTGAGGAAACCTCTTCAGAGCCACCTCTGCAGGATGCCCTGGTTGCTCCCTACCTACTGTACCCCGGTTTCCGGCCAGTGCCTGTGACTTCCTTGATGCCTCTGCGCTGCTCCTCTCAGCTTGCAGCCCCCACCTTTCTCAGGCAGGGTTCTGGCTACAGGCCCCAGAGTTCCCAGGGTGCTAGACTACAGCATCCCCCTGAACAGCTGGGTGAATCCACCCAGCATGCCTCTGCCCAGCGACCCCGTGGGCCTCCCCATAGTCCAGAGGAAGAGGGTGCAGAAGCTCCAAGCTTAAGTATCATCTCCACAGATGACCTAGAGGACTTTGCCACGGAGGGTGTTTCTTGAGAATTATAGCAAACTGACTTCCCCACTCTAGAAAGCAACAAAAGCTTACAGTCACAGACCCTCTCCAACAATGTCTCTATCTATCTATCTATCTATCTATCTATCTATCTATCTATCTATCTATCTCTACACACACACACACACATACACACACACACACACACACACACACACACACACTTCAACTCATAGCTAGCCATTTGAGATCCCTATAGTCCAAAAAGAAGTGGGGGACCTCTGTGGGCTCCCTAGGGTCAAGATTCATTCCCTTCTTCCCAGTTATCTCTCTGCCCTTCTCTGATCCTGCAGTGGGGGGACATGGCCTGGGACACCAGATGTTCTAAGGGTAATTAGGCTCAGGGCACCCCAACATTCTCCTTCTGGAGGGTGGACCTCCTCAGCAAAGTTCCCAGAAATGCTGAACCCTACAATGGGTGGGAAGCACCACACCACACCCAATCTTGGGTCAAGCATAACACATAGCAGCAGAGTTTCAGGTCCCTTCAGGTGGCGCTGGCTAAAAGCAGACCCAAGGCAATCTTGCAGACGTGATGGGGTTTCCTCATGGTGGAAACTGTCTCTAAAGAAGATCTTCTGATAAAGCAAAAGTTATCATTTAAAATGTGAAACAAGTTTGCCAATGTGGTCCTGTCACTGGACTCTTGTCTTTCTTCTGTGTGGGTTCTCAGCTAGAAAGTAAAAAGGGTCATGAACCCTGCAGCCCCCTTCCCTAGAGCTGCCAAGACCTTCTTCCTCCATCAGCCTCAACCCTGAACTTTCTCAGTCCAGACCTGCTGCTCTGCAGGGAATGTAAATGATGGTCTCAGCCCAGCAAATGAGATAGACTGAGGAAGCCAAGCCAGACATTAGTGACTGGTTCCTGCGTCATGCACTCAATGGGAGGATGGGGGGAGCCAGGTACAATTGGCCACCCTCCTTCAGTCCACAGGGACACAGTCCACACTGGGAATGGGAGGCTTCAGCATAGCTCACCGTGCCTAAGAAGACAGGATTTGAAGCAATATTCTGAACCAGGATTTGAATTCAGGATTTCATATCTAATTATTTTCCTAGCAAGTAAAGCCACACCTGAGTTTCATGATGGAAATGCCCCCAGAGACGCCCACCTATCCATGCCTTTTGATTTGGCTACACTTGTCAGACCAGAACTCCCAGTCAGAGGTTCAAGTCACTTGCCTCACAAAAATGACTCCTCCAAGTCACTGACAAGAGACAAGACAGATGTGCTTGGATGATGCCACCAAGTCACCTCCAAGGTCCTCTCTGCTATGTTCTCATCTGACTATAGTATAAAAAAATCTCATCTTGAAAGTCTCAAGTCCCCTTGAAAAGAAATACCTAACCAAAAAGTCCCGAGGCTCAATACTCACCATTGTTAGGGGAAAAAACTGGTGTTCCCTCAGGGAAAACTGGCTGAGGCAATTAGTTTGGGTGAAAACCAACTTGGAAGCAGTATTAGCAGGGCAATGAACAGGAGCCAAGGTCAGGAGGATGTTTGGAGGTCAGGGTCAACTCTCCATGGATTTAGTAGAGGAGGGGACTCAGGCAGACAGTGGAGTCTACTCACATTGGGAAGAGGGTCATGTCATTAACTCCTGGAGCCCAGCAAGCCAGTCCTCACTCACAGCAAAGCATCCATGCTCCTACATTCAGAGGATAGCTTGGAGAATAAAAGGTAAGTCTCCCCCAACTCACTGGCCAGTGAGCTCTCTCAGTCTCTCCCCGTCAGGGGGAATGACAATGCACACTTACGTTTCCTCACTTCCTTCATTCCCTCCTTTTCATCCTTCCTTTCTTTCCTTCTTCTTTTCTTCCTTCTTTCTGCCTGCCTGTCTCTCTTTCCATCCTCTACCCTTCCTTTTCTTCTGCCTTCTTTCTTTCCGTTTTTCCTCTCGCCCTCCTTCCTTTTTACAGATCTTTGCACTATGACAGACACTTCAATTGGACATCGAAATTAGCATGGTAAAATTTTGTCTCTGCACACATGGAGCTCCAGTATAACAGACAAGGAAGACAATTACCATCCCGTATGTTCAGGAGTTTAGAGGTAGCTCTGAGGAGCACCTAACTCAACACAGAAGGAAAGGGCCTTCCTCGGGCAGATGGCATCTGAGCCAAGTCAAGACATCCAAGGTATGCATGGGCCCATGAAGACAGAAGGCATCTCCCAGGGTTTGTTTATCAACGATGACACTGATCAAATACCAAGAGATTTGTCATACCATATCAAAGTACATTGACTTAGCTAATTATTCATTATTATTTCTAATAAGAGTGAGAACTGAAATTATAGCTTCACAAGATAGACTTATTGATATATTCGTCAGCATTTGAACTGATAGTTTACTCATTTGGTTGTTCCCCCACAAAAAAAAAAAAAAAATTCCTCCTTTTGCCACTATCTCGAATAAGAAAGTGGTGAGGAATATGAATGGGTGTAGTTTGTAGAGACTCTGGATGTTGCCAACATCTCCTGTTTAGAAGACTGGCCATTTTCCTACTAGCTGGAGCTCGCTCCTGTGTCTTCTGAGAGGGGACCTAATGCAGAGCACTCAAGGGCACCACTAAAAATTCCAAAACTGTTAAGCTAGAATGGCCAAGAGCTTGCATGATGTACTGTGTTCTTACCTCTGAGACTGATTTCAGTCCCCCAAGAGGTACCTCTGTTGGCCTTTACTACAATGGAAACAGTCTCACAGCCACTAGGGAGGGCCTATGCCAAGGACTTGAGCCTCTCTCATCTTTAGATGGACATCCTTAACACCTAACTGACACTGCAGTAAATGCAGTCCCCATACTTGCCAGCACTACCTCACCAGAGAGCTGACCTGAACCCTAGAATTCCAGTGTGCATTTTCCCTTGCCTAAGTGGCAATGGATTATCTGCACGATGGGTTCTGAGAAGCTGACCCCGGACAGAGTCAAGGTGGGGGCCTGCCTTCCAGGCTGCTGCATTTTCTGGAGCACAGAAGGGCAGCTTTCTTGCCTCCTACTTGGTGTTAGAGTGAATGGCAGTAAGGCTGGTTTACACTCTGTGGGAGAGCATCATCTCCAACAGCCTGAGCTGCCTCCACTTACCATGAGCAGTTGGGATCGTTGGCTCCTTATGACTGGAACAAACCACAGAAGCCAAGAACCTCTTTCCTAGGACAAGGGTGGATCCAGGTATCACAAGAGAGCTGACTTACAGCTTTCCATAACCCAAACTATGTGTAAGGGATAAGAAGCTGAAGTCCAAACATAGTGCCTTATGCAAATAATGTGGGGATCATTTGCATATGTAAAAGGAGATCTCAAGGAAAATCTGAATTGCTTATGTGTAAAACGTATTCCAGCCCAGACAGTACCATGCAGTTGGGCACAACTGTTGTGTAGGTCCCCATCAACATGCAGGTATAAAGCCAAGCTGGGCAGACAATGCAGGGCCATATCATAAGAGCTTGTCACCATTAAACTCCATTTAGGCTTTCCTAGGTGTCTTATCTACAGAGTTCTCACAGAAGAGTGCTTCTCCCTTTGTTCTTCCAGTGTCTTAAAGCATTGTTAGGAAGGAGGTCTTCCCTTCCAAGGACTCTAGATCAACACAAGTAGAAACTCGAAGAAGAAAGAATTCTGCTGACCTTCACGTCCAAGTAGGGGTGTCCAAGTATTCTGTTTTTATGAGGTCTTAAGAAAAGCCTGAGGCTATATGCCATATAAAGGAAGAGTTTTATCTGGCTCAGAGTTCAGGTGGCTAGGTGGTCCATTGTGGTGAGAGTCCCTGACTAACATCATGGTGGAAAAACCAAGAAAGGGACTGAAAACAGGCTACAGGCAGAAAGGGGCATTGCACAAGAGACAATCGGTATGACCTACTTCTTTTGTTGTTATGATAAAAGCAACTTAAGGAAGGAAAGTTTTATTTTGGCTGGAAATTTGAAGGTACAGGTCAGGTGAAGTGTCAGAGAAGGCATGATGACAAGAGCCTGAGGCAGGTGGTCCTGTTGCATCTGCGGTCAGGAAGCAAGGAGAGATGCAAGCTAGTACCCAACTCTCATTTTTCCTTTTTTATTCAATCCAGGACTCTCACGCTGCTTGAATTCCAGGTAGGTCTTCAGTGAAACCTTTCTGGAAACACCCTGACCCAGAAATGTATCCATGGTGATTTAAGTCCCACTAAGTCAACAGTCAAGATGAACCATCACATAAGAGAACAAGGAGGCAGATCCACTCTTCTCGAACAATCCTTCTAGACAAAACTAGCATGCCCTGCAGGACCAGCATTAAACCTTTGGGTGGGTCATTGCCCTGGTGACCTCACCGTGCTCTATTAGGCCCATTCCTTAAAGCTCCCATTATGTCAATCCTACAATAATGAAGACCAAACATCAAGCTCAAGAGTCTATGGGGACAAGCCACATCAAGCACTGTTTCTCTTTGACTAAACTGTAGTTCACTTCATTTGTTTTAGCTACATCAACACATTTCTCAGCTTAGGTGGCACTGCTCACATGGCCCTGGTTTTTATGCCATTGGTCCTCTTGCATCTAAGCCCTGATTCCCATCCCTCCTTTGGGTTACAGTCTTTCTATCTCCTTCAGGGGACTATCTCTGGAATGGCTTTGTTGATCCCTGCCCACCTGCCTTTCTGCCTCCATACTCATGGCTCTATTTTCCTCTGAATCTGGAAACTTTAAGCCCAACCTCTTTTTTCTCATTTCTAAACCCCTGAGTGTTCCGAGTGACTCTGGTCTGGATCTCTATGCTTTTACCAGCCCTCTGTTTCTCCATGAATAAAACTGAGGGTGTCATCAAGACAGTCAAGGGTCACCCCAAAGGTTAGAGCCCCCACAGGACTCCAGCCAAGGTTGCTCAAGTAGAAGCCATGGCTGCTCTCACTTGTACACATCTGGCCCACTGTGTAGTTTCACTAGGAAGGAGTCACTTCACAGGGCGATATGATCTCGATGGAACTCCACCCCACCCACAGTTACCATAAT